ACCGAAGCGCAGCCCAGCCAGTGCCAGTGCCGTTGCCGTTGCCGTAGCAAGCAAGCGCCGGTGCCAGCAACCAGCCAGGGAGCGAGCGGAGTGCAGGGAGTGAGACAGACATTGCCAGTGCGCCGCGAGGCTAGTTGAGTGCAGAGTCGTGTCGTGTTTACACCGAATCGCGTATCCGTCTGCGCGAAGACGTTCTCGTGTGAATTTTGGACGCCTGAGAACCCATTAAGATGTCTGAGTGGCACGCTGAGGTGACAACAACTACTCCTGGGAACGCTGAGGTAAGATACCTGACTGCTTAAGTTTTGTCCATGCGCCAGTGGTAAAATCTAGAATTCACATTAACTGCAGTTACCCCTGAGATAATATATTCAGACGGATCTGTGCGACTAGCGACACCCTTAAATATTATCCTAAAAATCCCCCCAAAAATCAGAGGAATCTTGCCGGTATTGGAACATTTTTCAAGCACTAACTTTTAGCATTCTCGATCACCTTAAGCCATCCTATGGCGAGCTCATATACTTTGACTTTCATTTTTTGTTATCCCACCTCGGGATGATTTTCTCTTTGATTGTGCAGTAATGTTTGTCGTTTTGGACTATCTACATTTTTGAATAATGCTTTTAATTAATTATGAATTAAATTTTGATGGTAATTGTGCAGAAGAGGTCCCCCTGTGGAAGTGTGGATTATTACTAAAGATTCTTCTTCAGGGAGGTCCACTGATTCCAGTACACATATTTATAGGTTGCAAAAACGTACTATAGGGTGTTAAATTAATATTTAAAGTGGCCTTGTTGGGGTTAGAGGGGTCCATGTCGTGCGTACAAGAGATGGGGTGTGAGGAGGGTTGTTTATGTTTACGCTTTTACTCCTTGGAAGTGTGATTTTGCAACTAGATGTAGCACAAGGATTGATGGTCCCAAAGTAGCAGAATTATCACCCATTAGAGGATACTATGTTGTTGTTTTTTGCATTGCTAAAATTGGGCACAAGGATAATGATGTTCCCAAAGTAGCAGAATTATTAACCATGAAAGGGTACAACGTTGTTTTTGCGGTGATGAAATATGAGCGCGAGGCGATGCCGGGTAGGCGATGCCGTGCAGCCAGGCCGTGCTTGCAGGCCGTGCCGGCAGGTTTACCGACTTTTGTGCGAATACAGCTTTACTTAGAAGATCGGAGGCGTAGCTCCGCGCAACCGGCACGGCCTGCACGCACGGCCTGGCTGGACGGCATCGCCTACCCGGCATCGCCTCGCGCTCATTGTGGGGGCACTTTTAAGGAATACAACTGCATATTTGCATTGCTTAACTGTCGCTACTGCAAGTACATCACTCTCCTTGTCCCTAATTTGTGGAATGAAAAAAAAACGTTGTATCCTTTAAAGGGTGATAATTCTGCTACATAGGGGGCAGCACTATCCTTGTGCCATCTTTAAAAAAAAACGTTAACGCTAACGCTAACGTGAAAGCAGATGATTTCTTGCGATTGGCGTTGAGCTTTTACTCTCAACTCTGGGCGTGGCGTGGCGGGGCGTTGGCAGGGCGCGGCGGGGCGCGGGGGCGGCCGGGGGCCGCGGGGGCGGCTTGGCGTGACATTGAACGCAGCGAGCGTGGCGGGGCGCGGCGGGCGGCTTGACGTGGTATTGAACGCGGCTTTGAACGCGGCATTGAGCGCGGAATTGAGCGCCACGAGCGTGGCGTGACAATCGTGGCGGGGCGGGCGGGGCGCGGCGGCTTGA